TTAAAAGAAAAACCCGACCCGAGACAGACCCGATGAAATTAGACCCGAGTCCGACATGACCCAACGGCATTTATTTTCTAACCCGACTGGACCTGAACGTAAACGGCATTGACGTGTGTCTGTACAGCCTGCAGCCCCGCAGTCAGTCAGGAAAAATCGGTGTCCTGCTGACTGATTTGGCCGCTTCTCCATACTTTGATTTATTTAACATTTATTCAATTTATTATTAGGCTACTTTATATTAGTGCCTGCCTGATGGATACAAGTTATTTCTGAGCTCGGCTTTCAATTGTGACCAGTGGATTTGAAAAATAAAAGTGACAGTTTGATAAAATAAAAAAAATCGATAGCCTAATAATTTGATGGATTCGCTAGTGTTGTCTGCAGCCTGATCTCCGGCGAAAGGCTTTTGCACACAAAAAAGAAAAGCCCTATATGAACAGGCAGCATAACGAAGCGAGTGGATTTTCCTGATGGATCTCATATCTATAAAATAATTTCTGTGTGCGAGGTTACAAATGTAGCCTATGCTCCTTTTCTATGTGCGTTCCTCACTTAACACGAATGTGAAAGTAGCCTAAGCTTTCGGGATAGTTTAAAAGAATTTGGGTCTAATCGGGTCCATTTGGAAAAAGCATGTTTATTTTAAAAGACCCGAGGCCGCTAATAATGAACCCGACCCATGTCCGAGGTACTCGTCGAAGTTTTGGACCCGAACCCATTCGGGTCTCGGGTCGGACCTTGGTTTTTCGGATCAGATACCTACGAGATCAATGGATGGATGGGGTTCCCCTCGCCACGAGGCCCCCTCAAGTGCGGCCCGGTGCAACCGCACCAGTTGCACCCCCCCTAAGGACAGCCCTGCTCACACAGAGTTTGCATGGTGTTTGGGAATATTCATGCATAATTTAAACACTTAATCAAATGATATCAGATTTAAAAAAAAACATTTTAGAAGAGAACGCAACATCACAGTTGTTTGAAGCAATGAGCATTAAGCTGTGTAGTCAGCCAATCGTTTACCATCCTGCTTTTGGTCAGCACAGCCAGGGGCGGATTTAGTGATTTTGGGGCCCCAGGCACTGCTGGTCGGTCTGTGCACCCCTAGGGGTGCGCGCACCCTAGTTTGGGAACCGCTGGTCTACACCAACGCAAGGCTAATTCTAAACTTTAAAATATACATTTATTTTTTATTTATTTTAATTACACATTTAAATTAAACTGAAGGAAATTATAAATTTACACGCTGAAGGATTCTTCAACCAAACGTGAAGTGTGCCTGTGTGGAAAGTAACTGTGCTTGGTCCTTCTTGGGCCCGTTTGCATAGCAAGAGCAAAAATTGCACAAAATACACCTCATATAAGTCGGCGTGACATCAGAGCAAGGCGCACTGCAAGGCGCACGTGCCCCCTCAGATTTCTGAGCCAAGTGGATTTTGAATGCAGCTTCCAAAAGACAAAAAAATAATCGAATAATATATTTTTTTATATTTAATACAATCACACCGGTGTGATTAGAACGTTCAGTGCGGCACATCACCAGCTGCTAAAATCAAATCTGAGTTCGCTGGCTGGCGCTGAGCCAGAGACAGACGCGTTTGTACAGCGCTGCACTATAACCAATCACACACGATGCTGTTGCGCTTATGAATGCAATGACCAATCAGAGGCGTTCAGATGAGTCATCGCTGAAACGCAGTGTTTTGTTGACTCGCTCCCTGACTGAATTATCTGGCAAATTCTCTCATCAAAAACAACGAAGTGCAGATGTGTGTACGAATGTAAGTAAGATATACATTTTTACAGTGTAAACGGCTTCAGTGATTTTAATGGGAGATTTTGAGAGCGCCTGAACTCTGGCTAGACTGAATGAAAATGTTCTTTGATAATGTAAATGTTCTTTGCTCTCTGTTAAATGAAAGTGTTATAATTAGTAACTTACAATATTGTTATTAAATTCACATTAAATACAAAGTCAGTCGTATTAAAAATATTTTACGGCATGACACTTAAGAAGGGTTTTTATGTGTAGTTAATAGATTACACTATTAGTCTACTTTGACCATCGCCCATTATAGATCAAATAACAATCTATAAAGGTGCAAAACGCATTTACTTATCTAGATATTTCCTGATTGGAAATATTTCGAATGAAAAGGGAAAAAAATAAAATAAAAAAAATAAAACACAAGCCTATATCAGTTATACAGTGCTATCGTGGCTGCTGTGTGTCACATGACAAGCATGACGAGCGCAACCCCCACTCCCCCCAACCGTGCCCCCTCAAAAATCATGAGTGAGGCCCCTGATCTCAGTATCAGGCGGAAACAAGGTCACACATGCACTCTTAAAGGGGTCATATGATGCGATTTCAATTTTTCCTTTCTCTTTGGAGTGTTACAAGCTCTTGGTGCATAAAGAAGATCTGTAAAGTTGCAAAGACTAAAGTCTCAAATCCAAAGAGATATTCTTTATAAAAGTTAAGAGTCAGCCACACCTACCTAAAACGGCTCGTTCTAACACACCCCCACATACCTACGTCACGATCTCGGAAGATTTGCATAACGCCGGCACTGGATATCTGGCCAATCAGAGCACACCTCGCTTTTTCAGACCGATGAGCTTTGTAAAAATCGACGCGTTTCAGAAAGGCGGGGCATAGAGGAGAAACAATAATGTACATTATGTGGAAAATAATGTGTTTTTTGAACCTTAAACTGCATAAACACATTGCATTACACCAAATACACAAAATAATGTTATTTTTAGCAGCATCATATGACCCCTTTAAGGTGTAGTCATATTAGCGGTATTTCAGTGCAATTTTGTGGCCAAAAAAAGGTCCATTGTCAATAGAAGTCATTTTCAAACCAAGCAGCTTTCTGCCGGTCGCTGCAGTGAATTAGCATGACCAACATGAACATGAGCGAAATATGCTTGGGGAACATTTTTGCCCTAATGCAAAACTTATTACATAGATTTCTATTTGAATCTGAATTTCACCTACAAAATTTTGCAAAGCAGCAGTAAATACAATTGCACCTTTAAACACGAATATGAACCCAATAAGCATAGATCATTTACATACTACTGAATTATTTATTTGTTAATGAGGTAATGATGGATAAAAATATCAATCATACAGAAGAAAATCAGACATGATCAGACATAAATAGAGGATTCGATGTGCTTTAACACTTCATTGTGTTGCAGCTGTAGAATTGGCCGTTAGTTCATGGATCCATTGCAGGTAGTTGGAGACACGCGTGTAGATGCCATAGGATCCCGGGCGGGCGCAGCCTTTCCCCCAGCTCACGATACCCAGCAGGAAGGTGGTGTCCCTGTAGCGGGTCACCAGCGGCCCACCGCTGTCCCCTTTACATGAGTCCTGCTTACCCTCGATGTAACCGGCACAGAACATGTTGTTGGTGAGCGTCACGTTGCTGCTCTCGATGCACTCCTGTGTGCGGATGCGGGGCACCTGCAACCGGCGCAGTAAGCGTGATGTGGGCCCGTCCTCGCTGCGTTTGCCCCAACCACTCACTGTGTGCTTGCTAACGGCCCACAGCTCGCGCTCAGCCATGTCTCGCAGCGGCAGACAAACAGGAACAGCGTAGGCACTATAGACGATGGGCTTGCGGAGATACAGTAGGGCGATGTCATTGTCTGAGGTCTCAGAGACGTAGCCGGGGTGCATGAGCATCTGTTCCACCTGGATGACCTGCTCTGTGCCTTCATCCACCTCGATGTCATGCTCACCTGAGTCACAGGACAACAGACAATACACAATAGATCTACACATGTAGAGCTGTCAGTAAATATAGTGCTGCAGCCGTGACATTCACATATTACTGATTGTCAGCGATTTGGCTAAGAAGTGAATTTGGTTTAGTGCTGCACAATATATTTTTTTCAGCATTGATATCGCGATGTGCGCTAGTATAGTGATCGTTAATCCATATGGACCAGGTAGGCCTACCAGGGTTCGAAACGCAGGTGATTCTTGGAGTAATTGCAAAGTTTAATATCATACAATGAAGGTTCATGATTTGCATGTGTTTTAGGTCCTGTCGGTTTAAACATTCAAGTGATATTAAACCATTCGAACGCGAGAAGGTGCAAAATGGAGCTCAATTCCGTTCACTTCGTCTGTTGTGCCTGAAATGACACTTACGCACAAAATTATGTCAAAATGCATGATTTATTAGATTTAATTTATAGAGTGCAGAATATGCAGTGTTATTTTACATTAATTATTCAATTTCTGTACCTGAATAGAATACTGTTTACAGGAATACTTACCTGAAAAATATAAAGCACTGTTTATTGACCTGCTCTGTGCCTTCATCCACCTCGATGTCATGCTCACCTGAGTCACAGGACAACAGACAATACACAATAGATCTACACATGTAGAGCTGTCAGTAAATATAGTGCTGCAGCCGTGACATTCACATATTACTGATTGTCAGCGATTTGGCTAAGAAGTGAATTTGGTTTAGTGCTGCACAATATATTTTTTTCAGCATTGATATCGCGATGTGCGCTAGTATAGTGATCGTTAATCCATATGGACCAGGTAGGCCTACCAGGGTTCGAAACGCAGGTGATTCTTGGAGTAATTGCAAAGTTTAATATCATACAATGAAGGTTCATGATTTGCATGTGTTTTAGGTCCTGTCGGTTTAAACATTCAAGTGATATTAAACCATTCGAACGCGAGAAGGTGCAAAATGGAGCTCAATTCCGTTCACTTCGTCTGTTGTGCCTGAAATGACACTTACGCACAAAATTATGTCAAAATGCATGATTTATTAGATTTAATTTATAGAGTGCAGAATATGCAGTGTTATTTTACATTAATTATTCAATTTCTGTACCTGAATAGAATACTGTTTACAGGAATACTTACCTGAAAAATATAAAGCACTGTTTATTTCATTTGTATCTTTGTTCTATTATATTTATCTATGCTTGTAATTTATTTATTATTTCTATGCTGATTTACTCACCTACAAAATCAACCCTATCATTGATTTAAAAAAAAAAATTCAAATAGAGCTATTCAAGTCATCTGGTGATTTTTTATTTAATTTTTTATTTTAATATTGCAATATATATTGCAGAAAAACAAAATATCGCAATGCAAGTTTTTTCCAATGTCGTGCAGCCCTAATTTGGTTACACTTTATTTCGATAGCCCACTTTAGACATGCTACTTATTACAATTAACTAACTGTCAACTAACTCTCATTAGAGTATTAGTAGAGCGTTAGGTTATAGTTAGTTCTAGTAGAGTAAGCTGATGTACTTGCAAAGTTACATATAGTTAGCAGAATGTCTAAAGTAGACTATCAAAACAAAGTGTTACCATGAATTCTGCTCACATGAAATTTGGCACACCTTGAAGCTGCGGTTGTTGTGATCTCATGATGTTTGCATATGTATAATAATTTCATTCACAACCTGTTCCTGAAGTAACTGTACCTGCGACTATCTTGAGAAACTTGACATTGAGTTTTTCTAAACAGTGTGCAGCTGTGAGGATCCAGGTGGGTTTGTAGATCACACCGCCACAGAAACCCTTCTGACCATACTTCAACAACACCTGTCCATCAACACACACACACAGATATTTGACAGTAAAGTCCAGAATAACCCGTGATTCTGTGATGGTGACTGCTAATACCTGCCAGGGACAGTGTCCTTTAGGACATTCGGCTCCACCAACGATACGAGATCTCACATCGACCTGAGGGTTCGTAGCAGCACCTCCACCCTGAAGAAGAGGAACCTTCCCACATGGAAAAGCCTCTGTAACAGAGAGCTGGAATCGCTTAGCATACAGAATCCATGCTGAAGACATTATACGACTACACTGAATGGTAAACAGATAGCCTACATATATTGATGGTGAATTACTGTGACTAGCTAACTTTCAACTGATTCAAAATTACCAATGTGTTTAGTGATATTCTCACCAAGTGTCAGGCAGTTCTGACCATTTGACCCTAAGACATATCCATCAGCACAGGAACAGTTACGCTGACCATCCTCCTCCATGCAGAAGTGCTCACACTGCCCGTTATCATGCAGGCAGGAGTCAGGAATGTCTTTAATCGCTGAGGAGTAAAAGCCAGAAAATGTTCTTGATCCTGAATCAGGAATTAGTTTGTTCCTTAAATTCAAGGACCTGGTTATCATGATACTCTTTCTGAATGTCAAACTCTGTTCATAGTAGGCACTACTATGAAAAATTTAATTAATTTAAAAAATAGTTGAATTTACTAAATTGCAGTACTATTGTGTGTAAAGTTCCAATAATGCTCCATTTGCGCGGATGCTCTTACCCTGCTCACAGTTGCGTCCGCTGAAGCCCGGCACACACAGACACATGTAGGATTCTGCGTTCTGGGTTGTGCAGAGCCCATTATTCTCACATGGATTTGATTCGCAGTGATCTTTAACTGCGTACAAACACAAAGATTCATCTTAAACAATGCAGAATGAAGGACAATGTCATGAAGATATGGCTTTTTCAAAAACAATTTCAAAATCTCACCATTGTAGATCTTCCAGAACTCATTCTGTATGGAGACATTAGTTAAGACGTTTGACATAACTAGTTGCTTGTATTACAGTAATAAAATACTGGTGCTGTCAAATCGATTAATCACATCCAAAATAAAAGTTTGTGTTTACATAACATATGTGTCTGCTGTGTAAATGTATACATGTATATGTGTATATAAATATATACACATACATAATATATACATAATATATTTAAGAAATATGTACAAATATTTATCAAATTTGTATATGATTTATATTATGCATAAATATAAGCATATTACATATATTTATTAAATATATATACGTGTGTATTTATATATACATATAAATATACACAGTACACACGCATATATTATGTAAACAAACTTTTATTTTGGATGCGATTAATCATGATTAATCAATTTGACAGCACTATAAAATACACAACTAAAACAAAGACTTATGCAGTTTAAGGTCAAGTTTACCAACACATTCAAATAAAGAATATTAGTTTTCTAGACATCATATACTGTATATCAAACCTGGTACAATACTGTCTGTCACTGAATGTGTGTTTTTCACATGTAATACTGACTGTAGCCTCTGTGTGTTCAAACACCTCCCGCGCCTCCTCATATGAACACTTCTCCTCCAGACACTCCCTCTCCAAATTACCCATCTTCAGCTCTTCAAACCAGCCAGAGTTTGCCCGTTTGGTCCGGAACAAAACCCCATGAGCCTCGTCCTTTCCCACGAATACTGAGAACAACACAGACACATAAGACTGTATTATAATCAACAACACTACCATTATACATATTACTGGATTGGGTTGTATAATGTGGATCTGTAGTTGGTTTAGTTACCTGTAGCTGAATGACAGCAGTAAAGACCCAAGAAGATATAAAACACTGACAGGAGACGCATGTTGACCAGTGGTTTCGTTTGTCTGATCATGTCTTCTGCTGCAGGTTCAAAGGTCTAAAGTCTAAATATTCTCCACCCCTCAAAGTCTGAAAACCCTCCCTTGTTGAAGCACAAATATGCCAGGACACAGGACAACATTAAAAAAATTTTACTTGTGGCAATATATGTGCAGATTCCAGTGATACATAATACAACTTTCATAATTTCCTGCCATCCTTTATCATATATACTCACTTACATGTGTCTTAATGTGTCTTTAAAGGTACAGTATGTTTTTTTTCTGCACCAAAATTAATTGCAAAAATAAATAGATTATTACATTTTCTGGTGTTTACCAGTGCCAGTGTTTTCTCCACAATGCTATCCACCTTAATTTCTCCGTAAGAGAAGCTGCGGCCATTTGTAAATTGACCGGTTTCCGGTGTCATCCACTTCCAGCTATTTTAAGCTGTACAAAACAACAAATTTTTCTGCTTGGAACTGCAAACTGCAAACTGGTGTTTCTTACCATATTATTTTAATGTGTTGTCTTAATTATAAACACACTGGGTTCTAGCACAAACAATTTGACCATTTATTGCACTTTGTTATTTTTCTTGTTATTTCCCTATAGGGTATACCGTGGCTAATGAAGCGGAAGTCTCACGCATTCACAGAGAACAGCTTACTTCCGCATTGAAAAATAAGGTGGATAGGGTGAAAATCATAAGTCTAGCCCCAAACACATATGATTGGTTGAGTCAGACGTTCACATGTTGGGCTACTCAAAACAAAATAAAAAAATAAAAAAAAATCATTGTTGTAAAATTGTCACACAGTGTTTCACATTTCAGGAAGTCAAACTACCATGACTTAGGGGCCATTCACACAGAACATGTTTTTGTATTCCACTGCGCTACTTTTCTGTTGTTTAAACACACGCTAGATGGATGTATCTGACCATTACACTTGCAGCGTCTCACACATGACATTGCTATTCTAAAACTGCAGCGCTCAAAGTAAGTTCAATTTTTAAAAAATACTCTTTTTCCCCCCTCCATTGCACTGCCCACATCTCACATTTTTCAGAGCAAAAAACTTATTTTGTGTGAACTGCCTCTTACAGTGACTCTGAACAATGAACTCATATCTGAACACACTTCACCTTTAATAACATTCAGAAACTCTTGAATTCATGCGGAAGCTACAGACTTCAAAATCCACTCCACAAAGACGGACACACGCGTGTAGATGCCGTAGACGTCAGCGTGTGCGCAGCCTTTACCCCAACTCACAATGTTCTTATAGCGGGTGGTCAGCGGCCCTCCACTGTCCCCCTGACAGGAGTCACGGCTGCCTTCTATGAAGCCAGCACACAGCATGTTTCTGGTCACCTTCAGACCCGACTTTGTCCTACACTCTGCACCTTCAGCCTCTGAAGAACCGGAGACGGCAGACCGGATTGTGCCAGGCGACCCCATCCGCTGACGGTGGACATGCGAATGGCTCCTATGGTGCGTCCAAATGTGCCATTAGCAGGAGGAAGGCATACAGGAATAGCGAAGGGGTCGAGCCTGATGGGGCTGAGCAGACGCAGCAGTGCAATGTCACTGTCAGTGCTGGAGTGGTTGTACCATGGGTGGATGAACACTTTAGACACTTTCCTTATCTGTTCTGTTCCTTCGTCTTTCCCACGGATGTGTTCAGCTACAGCAGAAGACAAAATGAGACTGAAAGGAAAGTTACAGAGAACTACAGAACACTTGACATGGACAATGAAAGAACTCTGGGAAAAGGAATGTCAACAGAAACAGCATTATATGAACAACAACTCAGTTATGACATTCTACGATGAGGTGACTCGCTGAATTTACAGAACAGCAAAAGAGTAAAGAAAAATTAAGCGATGAAACTAGGACAGGTTGCAACACAATGACAGGTGCATCTCAATAAATTAGAATGTCGTGGAAAAGTTGGCAGTAATTAAAGCAAAAGGAGCCCCTGCCAAGTATTGAGTACATGTACAGTAAATTAACATACTTTCCAGAAGGCCAACAATTCATTAAAAATGTTTTTTTTTATTGGTCTTATGGAGTATTCTAATTTGTTGAGATAGTGAGTTGGTGGGTTTTTGTTAAATGTGAGCCAAAATCATCACAATTAAAAGAACCAAAGACTTAAACTACTTCAGTCTGTGTGCATTGAATTTATTTAATACACGAGTTTCACAATTTGAGTTGAATTACTGAAATAAATGAACTTTTCCACGACATTCTAATTTATTGAGATGCACCTGTACCTGTTGAATCCACTGCCATTTTTGTTGTTTTATTATGACATCACAACTGTCAACTTGGAGAAGTCAGAGCATTCTCCCAGTTTCTTCCCAGTTCTAATTTGACAAACATGTAACTTGCAATTGCAGTAAATCTGGGATTATGTAAATGCAGCATTAACAACTCCAGAGGCAAAACCCATAATGACGGTAGTTCCTGACCAAGTAATTTCTTACCGACTGTCACTTGTAAGAGGGTTGGATCCTTTTCCCAAACGCAATGAGCAGCAGTGAGAATCCACCGGCAATCTAGAATAACACCACCGCATTTATATTGTTCTTCAAGTTCTAGTAAAGCCTGTAGAGGATACACACAGAGACGTCTGAGAAACCACCAAACAGAGATCTCTGAAAGGTTCTTTGGGGGAAACAAAATTGTTCTTCTATGGCATAACTGCATATACATAACTTCTATGGCATAAATGCTGTTCATCTGATTTCCTCATGAACCCTCACCTGCCATGGACACTGTCCTTTAGGGCACACGTCACCAATTCACTATCCTCGGACCCACACCCTTCTCCACCAGCCTTCCGCATGGGAAACGATCTGAGCATATGATGTGAAATACAACATGAGTTACATAATCAACAGAGTGGCCTTACAGCACAAAACACAATTATTTTAGTGTAGTATAACTAGTGTTATACTACACTAGAGCATTCCTGAAGCTCAATCAGTAGATCATTATATTATGATCTATTAATGGCAAGATCATGGGTTCGATTCCCAGGGAATGGAACCACTGATTAAATGTATACCCTGAATGCAGTGTTGCTTTGGATAAAAGCATCTACCAAATACATAAATTTAAATGTATTTATCACTTTACTATATAAAAGGCAAACTGTATATAACAAGAGTAGTATGTCCAAATTCACAGTTTTCATAAAGCAGTAGGCGAAAAGTATCCAGATGACCTACTACTTCCATTGAGATTCGACAGTGTGCATCCAGTGGACACTTTACTATGCCATGAGACCACTGGAGAGGAGCTATAAAAACCAGTGAACCAATGCAACTGCTGCTGCAGTTCACATGACATTGACAACATGGATGTAGTATGTCCAAATTTCATACTACGCACATTAATACTATAAAGAAATTATTTAATTAATAGCGGTGAAGTAAGTTCATACTTGAACAGTATGTCATTTCAGATGCAGTGGCTGTTAGAAATAGCATACTAACATACTACATCTGGGAGTTTTGCAGCATATTTAATGCTCAGTATTTGAATTTTCTGTATACATGGAACACCTGCATGACCAACTGCATGTCAAAGTATGCAGTATAGAACCCCAGTACACTGTGTCACATACTGCATCCCATAATACATTGTGCTTGACTCCACCCTCCATTACTAATCAGCAGTGATAGCTTTATTGATTTTTCCTGATTTATTAGGTCACATTGCAAAAGTTCAGATGCTTTTAAAGAAAACTAATCATTACAAATGCTAAATCATTATTTCTGAGATAAAAAGCTCTGTGTATGTCGTATAGTGCACAGTGTAGTACCATCAGTGCTTTAAGCAGGGGCACCGTAATGGGGGGAGGTTAGGATGATTCCAAGGGTCTGGTGAGGGAGAGGGGGCCCGAACACGATTTCTACTGAGTGGGGCCTGTGTCAAGGGGCCCAGAAACCATAGTGGCGCCCCTGGCTCAAAGTGAGCCGGTATGCACCGGTACATAGTACCGGCACTTCTATATTTTAATCTTTAGCGTACTGGCACTTCTCACATGTTGCTGGTACTCAGGGTCAAAGCATAAGTGTCTGGTTATGTTATTTAACGAAGTAAATATCGAATAAAAAAGGAGTTCCAAAAACAGAAATATCTGATCATCGTCCATATCGCTGTTTATATTGCACTTGTGTTACCAAGGCAATGACTGACGCATTTGTATTACATTCCAAAGAGCTCCCTTATGAGCAGTGGAAAATGAAACCGTATCCATGCTGACTGGCCCGGATCGGCAAGGAATTGAACGGTTAAGCAAAGAGAACCGTTCGGCCTGATAGTGGAAAAGCAGCTTTAACCGTGCCGAGAATTCCGGGCCGAGAACAGTTTGTAATCGTGCCGCGCCGTACCAGGCTCACGTGGAAATACAACTGGAACCATACCTGACAGTTCTTAGAACCGTTTGGCCCAATAGTGGAAAAGCGGCTTTAAGTAATGACACTATATAAATCAGACTACCCAGGAGGGGGCACTATGTGAATTACCTCTCATCTCGACAAATCACGTGAATGCAAGCAGAGACAGTCTACCTCAGGGGTTTTCAAAGTGTGGGGGGTGCAAAGTAGTAAAATAATAATTAATTATTGATTACTAATTTGAATCGGAACATTATCATGAAAACAATACCTTAAAAAATTAAAAGAAGCTGTGTTTTGTGATCAGATCATTTTTAACTTAACTTAATTACTTAAAGCTGCAGTCCGTAACTTTTTTGGTTAAAAATTATCCAAAATAATTTTTTTAGCAAGTACATAACCAGCCAGTGTTAAAAACTATCGCCTTACTTTGGCTCGATTCACAACTTTAAGCTTGTAATAAAGTTTTCTAAGTTGAGTGGTACAGGTAGGTTTTCGCGGGAAATTCGAGCATGGCGCTGTGTCATTACGTCACGCCTGTAAGCATAAAGAATTTGTCCCAGCTAGTATGCTATATCGCACGTAAGGATGCTGCAGGTGACGGATCGTTTATAGCCTTTTCTCACAGCAGCTAAGTACTAGAAAGATTTATTTTAAAGAGAACGAGTTGTAAAGAACTTTAATTTGCTTTTTGGGGTACAAAAACAATTTCTTTATATGAAATTCGAATGGTGTGACAATTAGAGATTAGACTGTACAAAAATTGAAATCTGGTAACGCTAATACACACTAAATACACGCACTCACGCAATGCTGATGTTATTAACGTCAACAATTTGAAAACAAAGTATAACAATAATAATAATTGGCATGGTTTGATGTCTGTACTAAAAAGATTTATTTAAAAGAGAACGAGTTGTAAGGAACTTTAATTTGCTTTTTGGGTTACAATAACAATTTCTTTATATGAAATTCGAATAGTATGACAATTAGAGATTAGACTGTACAGAAATTTAAATCTACAGGTAACGCTAATACACACTAAATACACGCACTCACGCAATGCTGATGTTATTAACGTCAACAATTTGAAAACAAAGTATAACAATAATAATAATTGGCATGGTTTGATGTGATATGAGCTAACCGATCGTTAGATTTAATCACCATTGATAGCGCAGTTTATTGTAACGTAATGCTTTTTTCTTCAGTTGATCAGAACAAAAGTGGCAGTTGTTACTTACTTGTTCAGATGACATTCTCCAGTGAAAACTCTTATTTGGGTCATACTTTCAAGATGTAGAATCTGTGAATACAAAGTGTAGTATCTACAACGGTGCGGTGACTGACAACCACACATTAGATTAATCCACGCTGGAGCTGTGCCGGTGCACAACCCACGTAAGGAAGATAATTCCGCAAATAGCTGCAATTGCAGGTTTTCAAACAGAGATGGCGGCAAAGAGGCAAAACTTGCGGACTGCAGCTTTAAGGCTAAACTGCCAATAATTTAAGCCATGGGGAGACTAGACTACTGTGATTCATTAAATGAGCGTCTGATTTACATATTAGCAAGTTATTAAATATTTTACTCAATTGATTCATTAAAATCACTGAATTGTTTACAAGTGAAACAGTGAACATAAAATAAATTATTCATTCACTTAGGCCTACGATTTGTTCACAAACAATGTTTCATCCCTCCACGAAACACCACTAATTATTATAAATACTTAATTATACTTACTATAGACTATTAACAGTGGTTCCCGAACTTTTTCTGCCGGGCCCCCCTTTTGTAGAGAAAAATATTTTCAATGTCACATGATCCTTCAGAAATCATTCTAATATGCTGATTTGCTGCTCAGTAACCATTTCTGATTATTTTAATGCTGAAAACAGTTGTGCTGCATCATATCTTTGAGGAAACTATTTTTTTGCATGATTCTCTTATGAATATACATGAACCCTCTCAGACATGACCGAGATTGCAAAATTATATATATGATTTGAAATATTGTGATTAACATAATACTACTTAACTAGCCTACTTGCCGTCCTAAATTGTTCGGCTTCATTACCCACCTTTCTACTGGTGAATCTGAGGGCGAGATATGCCTAGTCACATAGTATGTTTGCGATCGCAAAATCGCTCTTATATATGTGTGATGACGTCATAGGCTGCGTTCCACTCCACTTTTAGCCACGCACTCGCGAACTTCCCTAAGCACTTCCCCTCGGGGGAATCGCCGCTGCCATTTTGAAGTGCATTCCACTTCGTAAAGTGAACGACGTAAGTTTATATGGACAGACCCTCGACCCCTCGATTTTGACCGAGGGAGCGAGTATGCTTCATATAAACACTTCAGGCCAACTCCACAGACCAAAATGCAACACGATTATGACGTCATCGCAGATGCGTTTAATTTATCCCCACCCCAAACAACTCTATAATATATAAATTATTATTTTCCAAACATTTATAACAGCCCAAACATACCTATATACATATAGAATGCTGCACCAAACAAATTCGTAAGGGGAAACATGTAAACAATAAACCAACTCTATAGCAGATTCTAAGTGATCAAGTGCTTAGGATGTTCCAATTCACCCCATTCCAAGGGTTCCGCCAGTAGTGGGCACTCGTGCAAAGTAATTAATAACGTACATCCGAGTGAACGAGACGGAGGGAAGTTTGCGAGTGAAGGGCATAAAAAACGGACTGGAACGCAGCCATAGTCATGGTCTATAGAGCGGCCTGAAGTGTGTATATGAAGCAAAATCGAGGGGTCGAGGGTTTGTCCATATAAACTTCCCTCGTCCAGTTCGCGAAGCGGAACGCACTTCAAAATGGCAGCGTGGAGTGGAACGCAGCCCTGGTCCCACCTCTGGTGGAAGTGGTAAATGAGACAATGAGTGATCCTCTGCAGCCATCTACAGGTTATAGTGGGAGTATTATGACATTTTGATTTTAATATTGTTTGTCTTCCACCAGGTGGCAGAAATCCTCAGAAATCTTCGCTATCACCTCAGCGGTATGATAGCATACATGTAAGTGGCTTAGCTGGCTGAGATTTTAGCGGAAGTAAGTGATCGCTTCCGTGTGCATATAGCTAATTTCCCATGAATTAGCCTATCTCTAAGTAAAAATGAAAAAAAAATGCAGATGTTCTTTAAAGTGAATTTTACATATAATGTTCTCATATTATATATAAATATAAAGCAACAAAAGGAAGTTGATTGCTAATTGATATATAAATATAATAAATATGAATAACTTTGAGGCAAATAAGTAATAAAAACCACCGTAAATCCCTCCAAAATTGCCTAACTAAAAAGTGAGCAATATTACATCAACATATTACAACTCCGGAAAAACGAGAGGAGGTGGCATTTGTGTTTTCATCAAAGACTCTTGGTGTAGAAATTATACAGTAAAGGACACGGTG